ACGCGCATTCTTCTTCGTAAATTTTCGGGTCCTCGGGACATTCTGCCAAGCGGATTAGCCTTTAATTACACCAAGATAGAAGGACGGTCGGTATATACGTATGTGCGTTTAAAGTCGTAAAAATTTGAGTCGTGTACTTTCTGCTTGTAATCAAGAGTGACGATTAGTCATCCTGATCAATCCCATAATGGCGAATCACGAGCGGCGAATCTTGAACGTTTTAACAGTTTAAGCTAGGCTGGAGAACTGGATAGATTAAGTCGGCCGGTTCAGGCTGGCGAAGGCCACGACTTGAGCGTGACGTCAAAGCGAGAATATGGAAGCAATGCACAGCAGCGTGGAAAGGTAGCATTATTTCTGGAGGGGAGATGAAAATCTCAAAAATGCGAGAGCGATATGGATCGAACGCGGTTGTTTGCTGTCGCTTATGATCGAGTGGGTTGCGCTCCCTACTGAATGCAGACTGCCGTAAATAAATTTTTAGTGGGAAACTAGGGTCGATTCCACTGTTTCAACGCGAGCTGGGGTCGCTTTAAAATACGTACATCCGTAGCTACATCCATACTATTCGTATGTTATATATGCCATGTGTACTTCTTAGCTGTCGTGTGAGCGGACAATTAATATTTGCAGTAACATGGTATAGTTCATTTGACTATAGATAGCTGTACGTTCTTCGTGTCAATGAGAAGTTAATAGTGAAAATGAGAATGAATCGTTGTCAAATAAAATATGTGGCCTGACCTAACAGGAAGACGCGGGATGGAAGTGATAAAAAGGATGTTAAAGATAACGAGGGAAGGGGCGTCAGACGTTAGTTCGCAGTCCTTAATTGCTTTTAAAAACTTGCGAATTCAAATTCGCTACTGTCTAAACGGCTGCCGCGCCCTCTTTGCAGTTTACTGAGAAATGTTCAATATTAGTTTTCCATATCAAGTTGCAGACACTTTCGGTACGCGGAAGACGGGTCGGCCCGACACTTTGGTAACTAATTGCCTCGGTTTTTCTTGTCGGCGTAATTAACGTTACTTCGAAAGTCGGCAAACACTTAAAACTTACCTGTGTGCTCTCGTTGGTCCTTTTGTAGATGTCACGGATGTTTAGCTTTGACCGAGGTATAGTCCGTCCACGAGTGTAATGGGCTTACCTTGACAGTTGAATGCAGACCTTAGCAAATCACACGTGGACGTTTCATTGTATCACGTGGGATATATATTTTGAAATATATAAAGATAAAATATAGTATACTGTATTTTCGCGGAAAAAAATGTACATGCACACCTTATAACAAAAATTTGATGCAGAGTTTAGTGCCATTTTCTAAAGGTTACACTGCTTACGAACTGTCAAATAAAACAGGTTGAACTCGTGAACAGACTCTATGCGCTTATGCACTTATTTGTACCTTAGAGCAATGCTTTCTTCTAATTTTTTTAACTCTCGTTGACTACCGCGAAATTACGTTTACTGAACCTTCCATGATACCCATCGGCGAACCCTTAACAAGTGCAGTCACGAAAACAAGATTTCCTCACACGATTTTCTTTTACTCCCTTCTGGTAGAATATTGATTTCATGGTAGATACTCTCGTTGGTAGATCCCATTTGACATCATTGATTTTCTAATTATAGTGTGCCTTAGCAAAGCGCAGAAGCCACAGAATGAACAATTTTTGTTTTTATTTTATATTTTATATTTATTGTGCTTAATTCGGTTTAAAGTGTTTTATTACACAGTAAACGTTGTTTAGTGATAAAAATTTATATTTTCGATAATTTTTTATACTCATTTCTTTAGTAATGCATGAAAATAACGTAGTATGATTTTTTTTTGTATTTTGGAATTCGCCCATGAGAAACCGAATGTTTCCAAAAGGATGAAGCACGCGACGCAACGAGAACTAATATTCAAGAATGTCTGAGGGGATAGCGTGATTTGAAGTTAGCTCTACGTGATATCCATTTTCTCCTATCGACCTCGTATCTTGACTCCGAATCATTCTCCGCAAGATCTAGGTCGGTATCCACTGCCCTTACCTATCCAATTCAGGTAAATGGTGCCCAATTGTCTCTGACGACTGAAATAAGAGCCCAGCGAACCTTAGGATCAACGATTATTGAGGCACGGGAATAACTGCACGTGAGCGGACTACGAAGTCGAATCCTGATCGGATCTTACCTACTACAGATCGACTGGCCAATTCACGGTTATTTACTTAATATCCATTTTTTCCCCTCAAACGCAAATACATAATATTAGATTACAGTCATTTCCCATATATATAAATCCCAATAGTTTTCATTATCGAATACGACCTTTTATTATTATAACTAATCACGAATAATTGAATCATCATAGACAAAGTATCTTTCCAAACAACATTAAACTACAATAGACCGTGTTGTTTATATTAAAAATTATCTATACTTTGATAATACGATTTAGAAATTTACGAGAAATTTTTTCCTTCCACCTTCTTGATTTTTTTATGTTAATATGGATCCGTTCTCCTCCAGATACACGACTACATACCATGTTATAACATAAAACCCATGGGCGTGCTTAGTCATCAGAAGTACAGGAGGTCCTGCGAAAGTGAGAATGATCAATTTATGAGAGACCCACCTGGGAAAGTGCGCACCTATGTAAATCCTACATACGCGGTATATATCCATCCTGCACACGAAAGGTATGGTGTGCACGATACACGCACGAAACTCCCGCACCATTTACCATCAGCCCTTTTGAAAGGTTCTTCAGGCTGATTATGAGTAAGATCTAGGGTGTATATCTATATTGTATATACCGTCTCTCTATCTTCTACCCTACTTACGTACTTTCACCTGTCACGCCCCACGGAACTGGTCAGGTGCTTCTACTCCGGTATTCGCTTGTATCGGGTTCAACCTTTATCTTGATCTAGTAGTTTTTCCCAGGCGGACTTTCCCATTGGCCGTTGAATGGGAAGGCAGGGGAGCTTTTCGAAAAAGAGACGAAATTTCAAGCACACGTGCCGCACATTCTACTCTGACCTCAAAGTGGGGAGATCGGAGACTTTGCTTTGTGGAAATCGGGATTGGTGATCAGAGACTCACTGTGATATTCAACCGCATCGATGGGTCTAAAGAATAGGCCTACACACGATGACGCTTTGGAAATAGGAGTAGGATCATTTGAGATGCAAACTGTGTATATTACTTATGCTTGAGTTATTGCTTAAAAGAAAAATTAGTCGAAGCATCAAAGTATAAAAATAAGAGATGGAAGTTTTCTTGCTCTTTTCCATTTTCGTCACGAAGAGTTTATTTTATTAAAATTTGAACAAGAGGATCATGGGATAAATCAATACTGTTGTTGTACGTACAATTTTTGCAATGCTTGCTGTTTCAAGCATAATTGTGACCTTTTCAGTTTCCCTGGTTAAGTAGGAAAAATTGTGAGGGCTGAAAGGATCTTATTTCATGAGATATGACGAACGTTATTATGTTATTATGATTGTTGTTACTTAACGAGAGCAGTCATCGTGGGGGCTCGAGTACATTGCAGAAAGCCACACAAAAGACAGAATTGAGGAAATTAAGGTTGATCCTGTATATGAATCATGGAGTCAACGAGACTTCAGTGACGTAATTTATTACTAGTGGTTTATGCCTCGCGTGAAGAAAAGGGCAACGCTTAATGGATCTAAACGCGAATAACAGTGACTTACTTTGAGCGTTAGATGAAATACTGCATATATTCTTTTTGCTACTGGCTCGGTGAACCTGATTCGTAAGCGATATTAACAGAGAAAGAGAGCAATACGGATGAAAATCTATTTATCTTTATCGCTGCTTCTCAGGATAACAAGTGAGAAATATATCCAATTTTCTTTTATACTATTGTTTCTCACGAAGTGCTACCTGCCTCGCAGAGACTCACAAAGCAGTATTTTCCGAGCTGACAAGACGATAGCCTCAGGTCCTACAACAAATGCCAAGAGGCAGTTCATTTTTTTTTCTTTCTCATTTTCCCCTATTTCTTTTTCTTCTTTTCCTTCCCTTCCTTCCATTTCTCTTCGTTCGCTCAAGAAACTCGACCACCTAATGAAACGGCGTGTCCGCTTCCGACTCGGAATTCCCAGGAAAGAACGAAAATGTACGATACTTCGAAATGTTTCGCGACGAAACAAATGCGCATCCGGCGTGAGACCGGAAATACGTCATGTCGTCGTGGCGGATTTTTACCGAGAAGTCTCTGACATTGCTCTCCCTTAAATCTTGGTTAAACAAATTCCACTGAAATTGTGGAAAATGATTTTCCGTGCACTTTCGAAAATAATTCAAGAGTATACCCTTTTATGAGGAAACTTTTCGACGACGCCCCCTTTTTCGTTTATAGCAGAGACGCTTTAAAAAGCTTGGACTTCATCTTCGCCGGGGGGGG